AGAATATCAAGCACAACCTAAATGTTACTCTGAAGCACTAGCAGGAACAATCAGATGGGGGAGACGGGATGCATCCCTCACGAATGCAAGGGGTGGGGCAGCTGGTATCCTAGCAGGAGGGCGTAAATTATTAAGCCCACCATCTCTGCCCCACCTTTCGAACACTACCTTCTGCTTAATACATAGCTGTGTGTCTATGTCTCACAGCTGGGCAGTATGTAAAAAATATGTATCACAATGGTTGGGCAACTTCCAACATAGAATGAATAGCATCATTTTTCAGTGTCAAGTTTAGCGTGTTAGTTTTACTCAAGTTTTTATCATGAAAGGGATTTTCATGGGATCAGTGTACTATTGGTAGATGTGCTCTTTGTCCATTTGCTTTAGGTGCTGGACACATGCTCTGATGTGGTAACATTTGTCTCACTATGAAAAATCTGGCTTTAGGTCCACTGAAGACACATTTTTGACTTTGCAAAATGCCTAAAGGGAGTTAAAGATGCATGTTCAGGTTTAGCCTGAAGAGTGCAGGGACAGTGGTCAGGACTAGTATGGAAAACTAGAGTGGAAAAAACCACAAAAGGCAAGATGCAAGTGAAAACCCCATAACAGACAGAATGTGTTATCATTTGATTTAGTTTGCTATGCTTGCCAAACACGTGACACAGATGATTATTAAAATATTTCCGCAGTAGTGGGGCATTTGTTATTTTGTCCCTTTTTGCATACATAATGAGAATGACAAGTAGAACCGAACAATGTAATGTAACGACAGCTAGTTGAACTCCCGATTATACATTTCACAACGACAGTTATATATTGCAGGCTTATTGTACTGGATTGGTTTGGATTGTGTGCTTACCCCCTGTACAACATGTACAGTACTTCATCCTGTATATACACATTTGCGCAGTGTATTTGGCAGAAAACCAGATGAGAAAAGATATATTTTGAGAAGACCAAGGAACCCACAGAGAAGTAAGTGTAGGCCTCCTCTGCTCAGTCTTTAATGCTGGGAAGCTTACCAAGCCTTGCTCCCCTTCACCAAGGGGTTAATTAGCAGCTCCTCTCCCAATTGTCCTCTGCTTGTTCACTCTCATTAGTTTAATCTGGCTCTGTCCTCCAGCTTGCCTCTCTCGCCTCTATCCTCTTGTGCACCAGAACATCTCACTGCCTGTCCCACTCCTTATGTCATCAGGGTGGAGCCTTTCATCTAACCCAAAAATCTACTGCCAAACCCCACTGGACCATCCTGTGATTTATATCCCTTCACACCTGCTCCCCTATTGTGTTATGACGCTTTTCTTAATGTTTGTTTTTCATTAGCTTATCCTTCTCAAGTCTTTTGATTTAAAACAATATGATTCTAAAGTGCCCTGAGCCTAGTTATTAGAGTTGCATTTTTGATTGTTTGTGATATGTTGGGTGATGAGATTGGACATTAATTCCTTTATGGTTCAGGAACTATGAGAGAATTTGTTCAAATTAAACACAAGTTATTATTTAAAAGGGCCAAACAACCTTTTTGAAATCCACAAATGTGCTGCTCTTAATCCTTCTCTCAGTCCTTTCTTTGAAATAAATATTTGTAGAGAAGAAGTCCTCTTACATGATTTTTTTTTTTCTCACCCTGTATAAAGCAACATCCACAGTAATGTTCTCTGATTAAGAAGCTCATCTAGGCCACTTATAAATCTGTATGGTGTGAAAATGAATGGCGCATGATCATTGCTATATGGGAAGGAGAAATACCAATGAAGTGTGTTTGTGTGTGTGGAGTCAAATTACACTTCCTCTCTCCTTGTCACTGTGTTGTGCTCGAGATGTCGGAGCTGATAGGAGTGGCTGGAAAATGTGAAGTCTGCTTCCCTCCTCCTCTTTCTCCTCCTCCTCCCCCACCACCTCTCTAAAAATAGCTGGCAGAAAGAGAAGGCAGCGCAGTCGAGGCTCTATCTGTTGGGCTGCCAGTGGTTTCAACACTCCCACCACCAGCACAAGGGAAAAAGAGTCCTCTGAATCACACCTCTAATACTAATTGCCAGTAAAGAGTGCCGCCATATTATATATTTAGTCAGTAGGATTTCTTTTACATTTCATGAATTCAATATTTGCATTTTAAGAAGCCAGTGTATTTTTGAGCACAGAGATCATTGAGTAAAACAAAAAAGATTCGTAATCACTTCATACACAGCAGTCTGAAATTGTCACAGTTTTAGGACCTTTTTTTTTTAAGGACCAAACCGTGGAATGTTCTTGACAGGCTGCGTCGATCACCTGACCTCAGCCCAACTGAGCATGTGTTTCACTTGTTTAAGCCAAGACGAAAGCCCCTAAAATAAGAAAGAAGTTAAGATGGCTGCAGTACATTCCTGCCAGAGCATGGAAAGATAGCAAGCCTTTGCTCATGTGAATGGATTGTAGACTTCTGGTGGGTTTTGATTGGAGAGATTTTACAACCAGATATATGTGAAAAATTGTGTGGAGGCCATAAGAATATAGATGTTTGAATCACATTTTAGACTTTGTGCACGGTCAATAACGAAGTGGAGTTTCTACCAGGCTTTCTTTTCTTTTTTTAAACATCGTCCACAACCACTCTTATTATTAATCTAGGTTATGTGATATATTTAAGAGTGACTTATGGCCAGCTGAATCAAGCACCTACTAAATATGATGCAATATCGTATAATATCGCACGTATTCCCAGACATATTTACCAGGATTCCCTGAACGCTTCATTAAACAAGCCACTAGCCTACGAAGGGGCTGCAAAGGGTATACCGATTGCGTCCTGTGTTGCATAGTCACGTAAAGGCGGGACAACCAGTGCTTACTTGTACACAGAATGGATGCTGCATGCTGTAGCAGCCACAAGGCTTGTGGGACCAGTCAACAACCTTTAGCACTGCAGACTCCACCCCCGTAGTTCCTGGGCCATGGGAAAGCACTACCTTAGTCAGGAGCAAGCACGTTTTTGGGAGTCGGATATGTGACCCTTTGCATTGTTCCTCTACAGAGTCGGGCATACATATCAGAAGGACAACAGGGTGTTCCTAAAGAATGCTATAGGAGTGACAGTATACCATAATGTTAATTGGGTAAACAAAAATTCAACAGAAGTGCCCGAAAAACAACAACACGGTATAAGACAAAGATACAGAAAATGAAAACAAACTTTTTAGATTGTAATACAAGGCTTTAGGGGCAAGGTTACTTTAGCTGTAAAGTCTGTTATAAATTTGACACAATTGTCAGCAGTAGAAGTGTGGTCGTTATTTATACACTGCAGCGTGTGTGAATCACCTGAACCTAGACTTCATCAACCAGTGGAACATATCCTTGGCCTAATGCACTTTATTTTTTTACACTAATGTTCAGGTTTTACAGTCTGATATGTGTTCAGCTTCCAAAATCTTTTGACTGCTGACAGCCCCCGTATAGGCCACCGGCAGGTTACATTACCTCTTACACTGAGGGCTATTAAAGAGAAGACAAGAATTAGCCAGTGATATTACCACGAGGCGTTTTTATCACCAAGATTACGGGTTAAGGCGCCTTGCTTAGATGCAGACCCATTTAGCAGCGCTGGCCAATCAGGTGACAGGTAGCTACTGAGATGTCAGACGCTTGAAGGATAAGGTGTTCATTCAGAAGGTCTCGACACTCCCCAGGACAAAGGACCTATATCGAGACCCAGAGAAACAGGGAGGTAAGGTGTGTTTGCAGTACAAAATGGTACTGTAGTTAGTTTGTATTTGATAGATGGGCGGTGATTTTATTACAGTATTTCCTTTTAAGCAAATGTAGTTTTTTTTTCTTTAAATTGTGAGGGTAATGGTCCTTGGAATGGGTGAAAAGGGAGCGCGTCAAAGGAAGACATCATTTGCTTCACTGAATGTGGTCACTGAAATGATGAATTATCCCGGAGTGTGGACAGCTGTTTTGGAAAGTTTTGTCTGCTGACTTGCTATGACTCCTACAGGCTCTTAAAGTAGTAATGATTGTACCACTCACAATGTGTCTTGCATCAGTGTCCAACGTGCCTATAAGCCAGAGTTCGCAGTTCTTACAATTGTATTTTTTCTTTTTAGTAGAATTTGTTTCTTTCTGTGGAGAGTGAAAGTGTCAGTGCTAAGAGCGTCAACCAGAGGATTGGGGTCAGCGGGATAGCCACTGCTTTTAGGATCATCAGCAGGTTTTGTCTTAACCGGATTTGGCTGGAGGAGCTGAATCAACTGTGTCCCAGGATTACAGGGATGACATTGGAGGAGAGTTTAGAGTCCAGAGGCCAGAGCATTGACAGCTTTGCCAAACCCCTGCCTGTCATCTGAGCACCTTGGGGTTCCAGTAGTGCAACAAACCCAAGCTGGTCTCTTGGTCTGCCTCTGCTTTCTTGATAGCTGGACTCTTAATCTTGCTTCATTTTGACATTCCAGTAGGGGTACGTTTATGGTCCCTTACGGCTAGTGGAGGGTTTTTTTTTGGTTTTTAAAGTATTTTTTGCTTTGGCTGTTGAGGAATTGTTATCAGCTACTCAGTATGGCCAAATGTTTGCCCAAGGGTTTGCTATTGTTTGGAAGGGAGAGAGAACAAATTCAACATCATCCTCAAAATTGTTATCTTAAGCCTAAAGTAGCTGCCGAGTGCTTGTTGCTAGGTAACAGTTTCAAGCTGGCAAGGACAAGTCTTGAGCTGTCTAGAAAGTGTTGGGCTGTTGTGATTCCCTGCGACTTTGTCTGGGCCTTACAGATTGGATTTAACAGACACTATGTGATCCTCAGCTGCATTTTGTTGAAGTAACCATGTCCTTAAATTCATTACAAAAGAGAAAGCACATAATGTCTTCACATTTTGCCCCTGGCCTTGCATGTAATTTGCTGCACTGGCATTCAGAGTCAAAAGTATAAATTACATAATTGTACATTTTGTATAATAAAACCAACATTGAATGAGCAGTATGTGGTATGTTTGTTGAGTCTCTCATTTCTTGTCTCCTCCAGATCAGCAAGAGTCTAGGCGGCGGAGCGAAGCACACCATTAGCAGAGGAAAATGAGTGAACTGGATCAGCTACGCCAGGAGGCTGAGCAGCTCAAGAACCAGATCAGAGTAAGTCCTTCAGTGTCCTCAAGTCTACCCGTTTTCAGTTTTTTCTTGGTTTACAAATCCAGGTTGACACTTTGTCAGTCAATTCATGTGCTCCATGAAACTGATATCTCAAACTAGTGTTGATGAAAGCAGATTTTCCATTGAGAAGCTACCTATTTTCATGCTTCTCCATTAATGATGACATTATAAAGTACAAATGATGCCCCTTTTCAGAGCTAGCCTGCTGGATAAAGGTCTGGTCTTAGTTAAGTGTTTGCAGAAAGCTTTTATAGCCCATGACAGTATGTTATATTGTCGTTGGCTCAAATGATCAAATTCAGTGAAACTTTGCCAGTGATGTAAATCAGCCACTACAACAGAAGTGGGATGACAAAATTCCATCATGAGCCACTGTACATTTCACACATTAGTGTCGCAGATGATTACTGTGTTAAAGTTAAAGCTGTCTGCTAGGCATCATTGCTAGCATAATTGGAGTGATATGCAACTGAATGAGAATCCACTTTAATTGTTATGCTGATGCAGAATTTTTTACTTGTATTGCTCCATTAGTGCATGATGACATTTATTTTATTATTAAAATGCTTGGTATGATTGCCACAATGCAGTTAAGTGGAGATCATGTAGTTATCTTTATTGTTTTTGAGATTGTCGTAGCGCTTTGATTTAAAGGTAAGTGAGCCCCACAGTAAAAGACAGCGTCACTGGGGTACAGATAAGGCGAACCCCACTGTCAGTTTGTGACAGAGACTTATACATGGTGTATTATTTTTGAAGGTGTATCACAGGCATGAATATATGAATGTTATTATCAATAGCTATACTTTTTCAGTGCAGTTTGTGCGATAAACGCATTTGAGTTTATTGGATGGTACACAAAAGTATTGGGGTTATCGACGCAGTCCTATTGATACACTGGTGTTACACTAATGATGAAGAGTTAGCGTGCTGAAACATTTTTGACCGAGTTGTTGTGTTTCAGGATGCCAGGAAAGCGTGTGCGGATGCTACCCTGTCTCAGGTAAGAAATATGTCCATACCATGATCTTCACTCACCATTATTTATTAGTTAACAGTGATAAAATATGTTTTAAAAAAAAAACTAAAATCAGCTTAGCTGTTGGGTGGGTGTTTGGGTGGGTGGTGCATGATTTGAAGACTGCATTCTTTTTATGTTTTTGTTAGTCATATCTTTATTTGTGCCTTTGACAAATGCCACCTCACTATGCCACATTACTTGAAGCTTGAGTGCAAACATCAGAAAAAATATAGTGGCATTAAAGTTAAACTGTTTCTCTCATCTTGATCTTGTTTAGATCACAGCTAACATCGACCCTGTTGGCCGAATTCAGATGCGTACTAGACGGACACTGAGGGGGCATCTGGCTAAAATCTATGCCATGCACTGGGGCACTGACTCGAGGTAATCTCATTCAACTCCATTCTGTCCATTAACTAAATATTTCATCCCATCAGCCCAGCCCCCTTCGCCTAAATGCAGGAAATGGATAGAAAAGCTAGCTTGACTGTCTTTGTGCTAGTTACTTCTCCTGAGGGTCCTGGTCAAATCATGGCATTCTGCAATAGCTCCCTTTTGCATCCAAAAGCAGGTCTTTTTTCTTTACATCTGTGCAAAGTGATCTATCAGATTAACATATACTCAGTGTTGTAACAATTCAACAGTAGGAACGTACGCACATGCACAATAGGTAATGCATTTTTGTTGAATGCACATTGAGCACGCATCAGTCACTCTATGTTTGAGTGTGTCTACTGTGTTGTGTGTTTGTGTGCGTTGGGGGTGGGGTATGTGGGTAGGGAAAATACTCAAAATGGAGTCAGCCTTTGTTGGAGCTGTGTTGAGGCTAGATAGCTGAGGCAGATGAAGCAACACTCCTCACTTTACATACAGCCTTTTCCCTGGAGTTGTACACACCCCTCACCTCAGCAAACAACAAGTTAATCACTGTGGTGCTGGTGTGCGTCAGTCCACAGAGAGACCATTGCAAACTGCCATGTCACCTCATCATCTTCCCAGTCATAAACCCAAGACAAAAAAAATCTACCACTGTTTACCCACCGTCAGCTCTTCCTGTTTATTTGTTTCATCTGTTAATGTTTCACCTCCCGGAGGAGTTGGGGTATTTATTAGACTACCTGCTGAGATTCAGCCACCCAGAAAGAAGGTCACATGAAGATGTTTTGACCCAGAGTCGAGGCTAAGTCTGGTATTTTTAGCCCCATGGAGACACTACTTGAATTCAGTCTTAAGTGGGATTCTAACAGTTTTAGAAAGAAACCCAGCACTCATTTACAGGTAGTTTCCGTCATTAGCCAATAATATATCGGGTTAAATGTTCAGGGTGTAGTCATCTGTGAACCATACATCTACACAAAGGTTTATCTTATAAAATGTAAAATGCCTGTAAGATACAAAGGTTTGTAATAGTACTATGATTAAACATGAGAAATTTAACATTTCAGTCACCATAAAACATTGTTTTCTAGTATAAAGAAGTCAGTTTTATTTTTAAAAACTAAAATTCTGTGTAATAGTGTGTAAAGGAGCTTGAATGTAGAACTAGATAACCTCGATCCTCATGAAATCAGTGAGTCATAATTCATGTCCCACATGAAAAGATTTGTTCATAACCACAGTTGACCCAATAGTTGTTTGGTTTTTGTTATTTTTATGGCTCTACTGATAACAAGCTGGCTCTTGTTACAGTTGATTTCTGTTTATAGGATTTGGAATTAAGATGATTTTTCAAATTGTTGATTTCTTGAGAATTAAGTATTGAGTGATCTTATTATATAACCATTGCAACATCTGAAATACCTTATCTGCACTGAATTTAATGGACAGAAATGTTTAAAGCAATATCAGATAGTTGATAAAGATAAATGATAGATAAATGTTGTGCACCATTTTTATTAGGCCGTTAATTTTTGTTTTTGTCTCTCATAATCTTTAACTCATCATGGACTCCAGCCTCCAAAATTGTTCTCTCTAAAAACCTAACTCACCACACAACTATACACTATGTAAATGAGTCCTTGGTACCTGGGTGCATTTGGTTTCACATGAATGCTGTTTACATTAGCTGAAATGGCAAACATTAGAAGAAACTGAAAGTTTGGCTTCATCTTGTGTTTTCCTTTCTTCGTTTGCTGCTATTCACTTGAGCTGAACAACACTTCAGCCAAACACACTTTCTTTCACTTTTGTTTGACTTTATCACAGTTAGCCAAACAGACCTGATGAATGATGAGCAAACTGAATTTGTGTTTGCTCAAAATCAGGTTTTAAAAGTGATTCTGAGAAAAGCAGAGCAATAAATACAATGAACATGGTTTGATTTGTTCATCTTAGAAAACATTGGGTGTCTGTTCCCAACCCTGTTGATGTCAGAGCTCTATTCTGACTAGAAAGTGAGCACATCAAAGCATTGCATCATCATCTCCCAGCTGACATGCACACACCCGCACACACTCGCACACAAATAGTCACTCTATCACATTTCACTGGAAGTTAATATTGGGCCTAATCTGAAGTTGTTACATTTTCCTGCTTTTGACATCATCCTAGGCTTTGATTATTTCAGTTTAATATGTTAATTTGAAGGTTGGAAAGCCAATGCTTCATTTTTCTTTTTGACTAAAATTGCCAGCACAGACTTTTCTGTCCCTGGCTTATTATGTGCTGGAGTGTGCTCATGTAAGTGTGTTCCCGCCAGCCCGGTAGTTAAGATTTGCATAGTCCCAGCAGGCCTTGGTGTGTTCACTCCTTTTCCTGTTCCTATGTGCATTGGGGCCATCACTGTGGTTACTCTTGTTAGATTCACCCAGATAGCAGAACACAGCCACACAGGTACCTGTCTGTCTGTAGAATAAAAAAGCAGGGTTTGGAATGACTCCTATTACAATAACTATGCTTACTAGCAGAGTGTGCAAGTTGTGTTTTTGAAGCACATAAAATACTGAAAGTGAATAAATGGCCCAGAAAGTACGTAGATGTATGTAGGTACTGGATTAAAAGCTTTAAATTCATTACCAAAAATGTTTTGACTGCTAAAACTCCATACATTATGGTGCTTTTTAATTAGTCAATCCATCACTGTTGTGATTGAAGTAGAGTCTGCACAACAAAATTCTATTCACGTCTTTGTTAAGCATCACAATGTTTGGCTTCCATGATGTATCTTGAGCCCACCATCTCTCCACCCATTTATGTAGACAACAAATTGGATCATGTGGCCTGGGTTGCTTGCTATCTGTTGTCAGATATGCACTCATAGAAAAACACATTGTCCTGGATGTTTTGTCCATTACAATTACATTTAATATCCATAATTAATGCACGTAAAGGTACTGCACACTCTATATAATATTCTGTGCAGTCTGTAAGTGTTTGGATAGCGACACATTTTATATTGTGTTGTCCTTGCACTTCAGCACATTGGATTTGAAATGAAACAATACATTTGAGGTTAAAGTGATGACTTTATGCGCAGGTTAACAGTGTGGGAATTGTAGCTTTTTAAAAAAATACATATTCCAATTGTTGTTCAGTACAACACTGTACTCCCAATATGGATACAAACACCCTCAAATAAAAGTGAGCACAACAAAAAGTGCATCACTGGCCAAACACTTTAAAAACTAAAACTCACTTAATGTTCAAATATTCACAGAATTAATGAAAACATTTAAACAACAATAAATTGTGTGTCACTTACTATTATTTGTGTTTGTGAAGATTACAAATGACAGGAACCGAGTACCAATATATTACAAATGTATACAGAAACAACACCACAGATTGGATAAGATAGATGCAATTGGTGTTAACTGTATCCGCATGTTGTCATTGTTCTATCTGTATTTCTCTGCTGGTTGAAACTCACAGAAAACCTTTGTCTCAGGTTTGTAGGGACTGGTCATTTTAAATTGTTCTGTCGGACTCGTTTGATCTGATCTTTCTTTTCATCAGGCTTTTGGTCAGTGCCTCCCAGGACGGCAAACTCATTATTTGGGACAGCTACACCACGAACAAGGTAAAACCACCATATTCCACAGGAAACGATCTCAATGGCCTGTAATTCTTGTTTTTCTTTTTCTTTTGGTGAATCTGTGAACAGTAATAATTCCAAGTTATATTGTTACGGCAATGGAACAATAAGAGCAAAGGTCATCATCAAAATATTAAAATAAGGTAATAAGATGACATTATAGAATATCAGTCGGTCAGCTTGCCTAAAGGCAATTGGATCTCAAACCAACAAGTCAAAAGAGAAACTTTGGCTTATGAGGAAGTCTAAAGATAAAGAAATTATATGGTTGACTTTCACCAGATATCCAAATGGTTTGGCAACTGGTTGTCAGGTGAACCATTGTCGGTATTTGTTCATCAAAACACAAGTCTGCAATAATCATTACTACCCCCATTTCTGGCAGATAGTTTGGTTTTGATTGACAAAGTGCTGAGTTCATTATAAAACAATTCAACTGTTTGAGGGTGCCAAGTAATGCTATTTATATTGTGCCCTTGAAAGGTTAAGTTAATATTGCAGACAGACCTTGTCACATGCCCATGCCTCTCTCTCCCATCTGTCACTGCATACTATCTAATATTAAATCTTCCTCCTCTCTTCCAGGTCCATGCTATCCCGTTGCGCTCCTCCTGGGTGATGACGTGCGCCTATGCCCCTTCTGGGAACTATGTTGCCTGTGGAGGTCTGGACAACATCTGCTCCATCTACAACCTGAAGACCCGCGAGGGAAATGTGCGTGTCAGCCGTGAGCTGGCCGGACACACAGGTAGGCTGGAAACATCAACATTTACCCATCAATCCCAAGATTTTTTGATAGTCAGATTTATCTGCCAATAGATCGTATTTGTACAGATACTCAGTGTCTACTATTTAATGTAGATATGATTCTGCAATAGGAAAATATTCTGTAGGCTATGGGACAACAAAAGTTGTCTCTGGAACCCAGACTGACAGTTTGGTGTAATTGATGCCTCTGTGCTGACCTCTGTCATTTATCTGTGTGAATGACAATAAATAGAGAAACAGCTTAGTTCCCTTAAAGCTGCATCTCTCTACCACCCAGGTGGACACACAAGAACACATTTTATCAGCAAGCATGTTAATCGAACTTGAGTTGTAGCTACCAAACATCAGGTAGCAGTAGTCAGGTTTCTGACATCACAGGCTAGAGAGGAAGGCCTCGGACCGGTCCTGCTTTTAGGAATACCGAATTCTCAAGTTGGTCCCTCATTAGCGTTCAATAGTTCCTGCAGATATTAAGTCACACTATGTTTAGCAGAAATACTACAGATAACTCTTGGATTTTAATGAATTCATGTTAAATGTACTCTAAGATCTGCACACATTAGCTTGCCGAAATGGCGGCGAGAAGGAACTGGAACATGAAACATCAATAGACAACACTTGGCATGATCATGTTCACCCAGCCTTTGTGTGCTGCTTTCTACAAAGGGGCAAGGACAAGAGAGGTCCAAAATGTCAAATTGTCATAATGTTATCTTAACAGAACTCTGTCACTGCATTTTTAAAGACCGCTTCACACTTGAGTTTGAATTTGTCTCTTTCTTTGGGTGGAGAAGAGATAATTTCTAATAATGTGAATGTAGTTGATATCAGGTAGCGAGGATGGGACACTTTGACTGATGAATGTATTGTATAAATGTCTGCCTCCCACAGCAACCAGTCAAATATAAGGCATGTCAACCTCATCTGCTGGTGTAAGCCGAATTATTCTCACATCCGAAAGATGCCAGTCACATGGTGTGTGTTTCTTCATAAATGTAGGAGCTGGTCTAGCTGTATCCTAGCTCAAACCAGTGAAAGTGTTGAGCTCTTAGGCGAGGAGCATTCATCTGATCAGTGTCACATGATGCAGGAAGTGTGTCAGCATTTTAGTTCTAGTTCCCTCACTATAGGGAGGGGTATGTACACTCTGCCAGCTAGTAAAGGATGAATTATGGAAGCAAGTCATGAACCAGGGGGTACCCCACAGCCTTTTTTCTGTTTCTGGTAGTGAATTAGTCAATTCATCTCCCCCACATCCAGCACACATAGCATTTTGCACTCAGACAATTTGGAATAGAATTTGTTCCTCTGTGCAGAAATGAAGCCTCTCCTACTATAGAAGAGACTGTCCATCATAAATGAGTTATTTAATCAATGTGTTTGATTTCTGACAGGTTACCTGTCCTGCTGTCGCTTCCTGGATGACAACCAGATTGTTACCAGCTCTGGAGACACCACCTGGTGAGTTGTGGCACTGCACCCAATGCAATCCAATAGAGCACCCTTCCACAAACTACGACCTCACCATAGGGTTAACTCAACACCTGTCTTAACACAATTTAATCAGAAATAGAGCATTATAAACTTCAAACATAGCCTTAGTTGCAGGGCTATCGTATTTGTTTGCATTGTATTGTAAGGTTTTCCTACATTTAAGGATTTAAGGTTAAGATTTCTCTTTCAACAATATCTATTGAAACAATTATAGCCATATCAGTTTTCCAGATCAATATTGAGATTCACTCGCCACTGTTGACATTATATCCAGCATGGCAGCAGTAAAAGCCAAGTCAACCCTAAGCTTCAAGTGCTTGGGCTAGTTTGATTTCATACAGCCACCAGCATCACACCATAGCTCAATCAGATTCCTTCTCGATTGCACTTTACATGTTGTTTTGCTGCTGTAATTTGACAGCGTTCTTTCTGTTTTTGCAGTGCTCTGTGGGACATTGAGACTGGTCAGCAGACAACTACATTTGCTGGTCACACCGGTGATGTCATGAGTCTCTCTCTGGCGCCCGACACCAGGCTGTTTGTCTCTGGAGCCTGCGATGCCTCGGCCAAGCTCTGGGACATCAGAGAAGGAATGTGCCGACAGACCTTCACTGGCCACGAGTCGGACATCAACGCTATCTGCGTAAGGCCACACACACACACACACTTACATGTTATATACTATTCATATCAGGGTGTCTAGTCTCAAGTCATTCAAGGCATCTCCATGTCAAATCAGAGCAAGTCTTAAGTAAAGTTTATAAGCATATTGCAAGTCAAGCTGTAGATCATTCAGGTCTGTGGATGCCCACTATTACAATAAGACTGCATTTAAATTAGGCTGTGTTAATAGTTTGTTGGTCACATATATGAAACCTAGTCCTTTCAGTTTGTGTGAATGAAACTCTTAACATTTCCTGGGCGTTCATAGTTGTGCATACTCGATAATTATTACTGAAATAGCAATCCATACACTTCATAGATGTCTGGAAAGACTGCAAAAAGTTAAATGATTTGTACATTTTTAAGTGACCAATTGCACAAAAAAGGTGCGGCTAGTTACTGTTGCACAACTGAAGGACAATAACAAACATAATCACAATGACTAAATAAAGAATGTATGCGAAAAAGCTGAAATAAAAAACACTGAAAAATCTCCCTTGGCCCTTGTTGCAGTTCTTCCCCAATGGCAACGCCTTTGCCACGGGCTCAGACGACGCTACCTGCCGGCTGTTTGACCTGCGTGCTGACCAGGAGCTGATGGTTTACTCACATGACAACATCATCTGCGGCATCACCTCCGTGGCATTCTCCAAGAGTGGTCGCTTACTGCTGGCTGGCTATGATGATTTCAATTGCAACGTCTGGGACACTTTGAAGGCCGACCGTGCAGGTAAGCAAAGGATTGGAGCTAGACGAATATGTTGTTGTAGTTGATGTAGTTCCACATTAATTGTGGAACTTATTCTGGAGGCCAATTGGCCAAATATGTCATAAAGTCAATTTTTCCAGGTCTGCTCCATTACAGTGCTAGCACTTTCAGCTGTGTGGCTAACCAGCAGTAAATGTCAGAGTTCACTGTCAACCCCTATTCACAAATGTGGGGTGGAGAAAGGGAGCATATCTGCCGCTGCCTTCGTTCAGAACTCCAGGTGTCAGTTGCCTTCCACCACAGTCTCCTCTTCTTCTGCATTCACTGCAGTTCAGCAGTGAACAGAGTAGAGGATGTAAAAACAGGAGGAATGTGGAGAACATAATCTGCTGCATGCTTTGAGATCTCAGTTTTTACACCTCTACACACCTGGCCAGTTGCTGCAAAAAGCGGGCGTGGCTCTTACTTGGTTGATTTTAGGACGTTGGACATATTGAGTGAACCACACTACACCACCAACCCCCTGAGAGGAGTTTTTCACTGTTTTCAGACTGATGTACTGGAATATATACTCCTCGCGAAATAACATAATACAAGAATGTTCTGAGGTTTGTTGTTAGGCTAGTAGAAAACCACTAACTGAAGGAGAAGTACCTGAAGCATGTTGAGGCAAAGTGTGCGTATCAAAAGGTACATTTCAGATGTTTATGACAGAATCAACCGATTCATCTAAATGTGGGTATTTGTTTAGGTGAGGCAAGTTTTAGAGTGAACAAACAAAACATACAAATTAGTTTGCCATTGAGCCGTTATGAATCTCATTAAAATGCCATGTACTAATCTCATTTGGACTGCTAATTGCAAATACTAAACAGATCCTATGTTTTATTGAACATTTCAGACTGATACCAGTTTGGATAATATGACAAAAAGGAATGTTTATTAAATCCCTGTTGTATAAAGGTATCAACCTGATATATGTGTAATTAAGTTTATTATAACAGTATTATAGTAATTGTAAAATGTTTAGTTTATTCCACTGTATCTTGTGTGATACAGTGCCTAACCGTAGACTTTGTCATGATGTGACTGTAGATTTTTGATTTCTGTATCTACATCTTGATTGTTAAACAGCTGGTTAGTCAATTTCCTGTTAAAAACTACAACATAAGGCAACAGAACATTTCCAAACAAAGTTGTGAAAAGGTAACTGAGTAGTGCCAGTCAGGGAAAAGATACAAGAAATCTTTGAAGGCACAGAGTACAGCCAGCCACCAAGACGTGTACGGACGCTCTGAAGGAGGTGCAGGGCTCCATGGCTGCGATGGGAGAAGCTGTCATACAACAACTCTTGCCTGGTGCACAACTCGCAGCTTTATGCTTGTTGAAAAAAACTCACATGACATCTGCACTAGTGTTTGCCAGAGGGCAACTCTGGAACACTGAGAAATAAAGTGGAGGAAAACGTAGTGGTATGATCAGACAAACATTAGCTTTTTGGCCATCATGCTAAATGCTATATTTAGTGAACATCATGCATCAGTAGAAACAAATAGGCCCTGCAAGGTTTGTGAAGGTAGTGTAACATGAATGCAGCAAAATAGAGAAAAATAGTGGATAGAGAACCTGCTGAAAGCAAGACAATGGCACAAAACATAAAGCCAAAGCTAGGCAGCAATGGCCAAGTCAGAGGGTGAAGTCTCATGACATCACCAGTGTGTCAGAGTCAAGTCAGAGGCCTTAGTCAATACTGAATATGTGAAAGGACTTAAAAACTCCTGTTTACTCACACTCCCCATGAAACCTGACGAAATTGAAGCAGTTTTCCAAAGAAGTAGGGGGTGAAGATGTAATGGCCACATGTGCAAACCTGATACACAGCTGTCCACATACAATCAAGGCTGTCATTGCTCCCATATGTTTTCCCAATATATATACTTGAATGGCCCAAATACTTGTGCATGCAATCTATTACTTTCTTTTTAAATGTGTAATTCATTTAGGGGAATTTGTAGAGATGGTTTTCCTTTTGAATTCCAAGTATTTTTTCCAGTGTTCAGTGTGCTAGCAAATGACATGCTTTTTTGTTTTTAGTTTTAGTGTCATATATTTAATACCCTTTAAAGTTTGATGTTCAAATGAGACAAACGTTACCTCCAAGAAATTGTCACGTGTAATCTGTTTAAGAATAAGGTTTAAGATTTAATAATAGGTTTAGTTCTGTCAAACAGAGTAGAGGACAAACCACAAGGCGAAACACAAAAACTCATGGCATGCTTTTTCTATTCAGTGCATATTGCAGGAAGCAACCAGAGTCTAATATTGACATGAGTAGTTTTACATTGATAATGCGTCTGTATATGAAGAAGATTCATTGTTGTGTGTATAAAAGGCATTAATGTACATCTGGGAAAGCAGCAAGTGTCACCTGCTCCAGCAGTGAAGAGCCCCTATGGAGGCATGAATACTTTACAGCTATTGACTGCATAGTGGGATAGGGATCAGAGGAGGCCCACATCTGAGCAGGCTATTTCAAGTATACAAACACACATGTATTTGCTCCATTGGTGGGTAAAATATTGATTATCAACATATTGAGTCAGTATTAGCCTTTAATAATTGTCTAAAAGCTCAGCAAGTGGCATTTGGAGCTCTTTGTGGTTTGAACCAAAGAACCAAAACACATCAGGCAGGCGGGTATCAAGACCCCAAATGCCCTGAAGCAGATTGTGTCACCTTGTCCTTTTTCACCTTTTCTTTTTTTTCCATGTTTCACATTTTACGAATCAAACCAGGTTACCACAATGTCCAATTTAGAAATTCTGACTTTACTTACCTACCTAGCATGTGGTATCCGTGAGACAGGGCAGATTTGTTGCTGTATCTTAGCCTCTGGTGTCCCCGCAGGTGTCTTGGCTGGTCATGATAACCGGGTGAGCTGCTTGGGTGTGACCGACGACGGCATGGCAGTGGCAACAGGGTCCTGGGACAGCTTCCTCAAGATCTGGAACTAGAGTCTGAAGGTAAATGATGAACTGAGAGGAACGTTGGCTGTCAGAGCAATGGTTTATTAACAGCATCAGCCACATGGGACCTCATCTAGAATTTGTATTTACTGCCACCTGGTGGCTGGTAAGGAAGGTACAACATATGAAACATAATGTGAAACAAACATCAAACATTATATCACATCAGCACACACAGTGGAATTATTATACCTGAGGGCCCCAGTGTTAAATTTCACTGGATTTAAAATGTTTTTCATCCAGTTAAATGTTGTTGTTTTTTTACTGTGCAGTGACAGTTTCTGCCTGACCTGCCATGTTTTGTTTTCATAGCTTCAGAAAGTAACGTGATATTGAGGTTGGACTAGAAATAATAAACACAAACACGAATAAAATAAATGTGTGAGCAGTTATCACAGTTAGAATAATTATGAGTGCTAATAAAACTTGGAGGAGATACGCACATATAATCAACTTTGATTGAATAATTTTACTGTTGACTTTACTGAATAAAGATAATAATGATGATTCTTTTGTTTGTTTTCCAGATGGCATCTGGACTCCAAAGTTGAGTGGAAGACCATTCCAACATCACAATGTTCAATTTTATTGCATATCCAATCTTTTCAAAAACACCATGATACTGACTCCAAACACCCCAAAAAACTATCAAGGGCAAAAATTCTCTCTCTCTCTCCTTCTCATTTAAAAGAGCACAATTGTCTGTCACTCATTCAGCTACAAAAAAAAAACAAAAAAAGGAAAAAAAAAGCTTGAGGAATTTAGTGGTTTCAAAATGGAACGGAGGGGAAAATTGTGCATTCCTCCCATGACCATGGTCTGGTATTGTAGTAAGTGAAAATGCAAACACCCCACCGCCGCTGCTGCCGCCACCAAGCAAACATGTCCTGCGTCCTCATTATACACAGGTCTGAGTGAAGGTTATTACATGACAGTGATCTAACTCTTAATAGCTTTTTGGCCATGTTTATTTTTGTTTCTTTGTTGTTTTCATTATTTTTATTTTTGTTTTGTTAAAGAGAAGTAGATCAGTGAACTGTCAGTTAATGTTTAAAATGAGGATCAAAGCTTTGTTTTATTTCCTAGTCTTTACACATTTTAGAAAATGTTTTTAAGTTGGAAACTAAAAGAACCTCCAGATCACGTCATTTGAAATCCAGCTTTATCCCACTGGAGAATAAAGCGAGAGAATTGAGCTTCAACAGGGAGTCCTCAAGCCACTTCTGGTCCTTCTGTATATTTAGTCCCATGATACTTTTACTGTTTCTTTTTTTCCAGTGTAGTCCACAAATCTTTGTTTGCACAAAAATTAAACTTTGCATATATAGAATAATGTCTAAAGATAAAAAAAAGTTAAACTAACCAAGCACATGCTGTTTATGATAATGAATGCTCGTTTTTAAAACGAAAAACAACAAAAAAAAAAACAAACCATTTTAACCATTCTTACACCTTTTTGTCTGGCGACAGTGTAGAATAATTAAATGAAGATTAACCCATCGGATCATAATCCACCCCTCCCCCCTTTTTTATTCTTTTTTTTTCTCCTTTAATATAATTTTGTTTTCCCTGGTTTCTGTTGCCCGTGGTTGGGACCGGTGATGTGATTTGGTTGGGTAGGGAGTACCTCCACTTTAGCCCGGTTACAATCCGGACGTTTCTCTTTTAACAGAGGTGCCCATTCCGTGCTTGGAAATGCAGTTACTACTCTGTGAATGACATGTTGTATAAATCAATGTTTGAAAATAATGATATTGAAACTTTTTAAGTTAAAAACGAAAAAAAAAAAGATTTTGGTTGTCTGCCATGGGTGGGTTATCTCTTAGAATCGCATGCTGTAGAATTGCTTAAAAAGGTGCATATGGAATTAAGTCCTTTGATGTTTTTCTTTAAGAAAATAACCTGTTGAATATATCAATACAATGGTATTTATATTTTTTCTTTTTCTTTCTTTCTTTTTTTCTTTTTTTTTCTTTTTGTTTTTGGCTACTCCGTGCATACATGATTCAACTCTAATGTCAAAGCTATGCACTTGAGAAGCAAACCCTGCAACATAAACGGTTACTTGGTCCATACTTGGGAGGGATTCCACAAATTAAGAAGTAACGTAAATGTTTAAATTGTACACACATGCATACGTACATTCATTCACCTAAACATACACAATCTCAAATGGAACAAATAAATTTTCATTCCTTCTGTAGCAAACAAAATTCCACTTACAAAGAAAAACATTTTATAACAGGTTTTTTTCTGTCCTTTAATAAAAAATGAAAAAAAAAAATCTTGCAGCATCTGAATGGCAGAATTTTCTGTTGTTCCCTTCTCCTTGTAAACAGAGACGCTCTTTCTTTAGCAGTAGTGACATTTTTTCCATTCTGTTTTTTCTCTGCGACATTCTGTACAAAAAATGTGCTGTAATTGTGCGTTAGGCCTGGAGTTGGCAAAAAATAAAATGAAATAAAAAATATTAAAAATTAATTAAATTCCCTTTCCTTTTCTCTCTTTCTCCATCAAATAACTGTAGAGCTCTGCACCCCCACTGTTCCCTTTTCACCTTTTGTATTTAATTTTAAAGTCAGTCAGTGTACAACCGAAAGCTGGATGCAAGATAGAAACTATATTAAAATGTACTGTTATTTAAGATGTAATAAAAAGCAGTTTGAGATGACCTACTGTGTTGAGTGTGATTCACTTAGAGCGGTTTCCACTGATGCTAGAATGTTGCAGACTGTTTGGTTTCCTTGTAATTATGTTCAAGTCAAATAAACAATTTCTTATCCACTGTTGAATCAGTCTGACTCCTCTGTACAGTTATTTGCACAAGGTAGCCATGCTGTTTGTTCCTCAGCATTTACACTGACCATAAAGGGACACCTCATATTCCTATTGGGAAGATTGAAACTTTTGCAGGTTGCAAAATAAACTTTTTGTCCACTGGACAATGGCTAGTGAACAGTCAAATTTAACCAGCCTTTGAATAAAGCCACGTTTTGGCTAGTGAGTGAAGAAAGTCTACCACACATGAACATATTTTACTGCCATTTGACTTGTCAGTGTTTGTCTGGTAATGTCAATAAACTGCCAGGTTGCTTAAATGCCTTGCTAAAGGGCATTTCCCTCATCAGTAGTTTATTTATTTCTCCCTTTGGATTGGTGTTTTTCTTTGGTGTATATGCTTGGAAACACTCCCTGACCTTTTTCGCCCTCTATTGGACAGAAGCATGAAATGCAATGAGGGAGTTTCTTCAGCTGTATTGAGCTTTTTTTAAATTGTATTTAAAAGATTATGTATTCTCCTATAAACTATATACAATCTATTTTGTCATATAACATGGTGATTAATCGTCATACAGCACTCCCTAATCCAAAGCACAGATTATTCCTTTGTGTCAGATAAATGAAAGTCAGTCAGAGCAGTGTCACTGTACAGTTCCTCTTTGTGGAGATAACACTTTCATTCTAGCAGTAATACTGCACGTTAAGTGATTACATCAAAAGCTCATTTATTTCTCATATAACATTTACTCACATTGTTAGAAACTGAGAAGTTGCTTATGAGTGAATGAATGAAAACAGGTAACATTATTTTAAATACTGATATGAGATTAACCTTTCTTTTATATTCAACATGTCCCGTTCACTGAGCACATCTATGACACAGTGAACGGGCAATAACCTCTTAACTGTACGGCCTAGACCACCTGCATATTTCGAGACAAGAACCCGAAGGTATGTCAAACTGGATTACCAACAAACCGCCCCAAGGCCCCAGGTCAGACCCTGAGCTGGCAATGTGGGGCCAGCACCAAATGTTTGCCTCATGGCCCCTAGGAAAGTTATTCTGGTCATGCAGCGCGGTCAGACCACATTCAGTCCTATTGCATCACTGTCCAGATGACATATTCAGACAATCTGGAAAAAGTGCTAGTTGCCCCTTTGCGATGAGTTGACATGTAGAACTTGTTCAAAATCACACAGAGAAATATACATATAGGAATAGTATATAGTGGATATAGGGGACACGGTTTGCTTTGGTACATTCTGAATTATCAATATCAACAACTGGGCAATGCATTGGCATATACAGTAAGTAAATGTAGCACAAGAGAGAAAAAAACGTTTCTATTAGTTATATATTATTATCAGAATGAGTGTGATAATAAATGCTATCAATCTATTCTAATAAACAGTTCCATATTGTAAAAGTAAACAATGAAATCAGTTCTAAATCCATACAGTGTAATTGAACTGTTAACATGATGACTGTTAATATCGATAATAATCAGTGAATTCACACAGCAGCCACACGTATACGACTTTAAAATGTAATTCCTTCATTATAATGTAATCCCATGGTTACTTGTCCCTCTGATACAAAGGGAGACGTCTGTACGTTCACACTGTGGGTTCGTCGGTACGTGAAGTCCAAAATGACGTCGGCGGGGAGGGCGCCTGTGATTGGTCGGTCAGTATGAGGAAGTGATGAGCTGACTGTTGACAGCTCTCAGTGGAGTAAGATGGTGTAACATTATAATCTGAGGGAACAATGGAGAGGCTCTGATCCCACGGCAGCTCCCTCGCTCCAGATCTGTGTGCTGCCCTGTACCGTTGTGGGTAAAAGGTATTGTTGGCCACAGAAGTGGTTAATGTTGCGCTTTGTGTTGAACATGATAACTACTAGCGTAGCTCGCTAACTAGCTTAACACTAGCTTAGTTAGCTCACTGTGGATATTGTACCGTCCGGCTTCGTCACCATTCATCCGCTTAACACTCATGTGTGTTTCAGTGTCGGTTCAACAATAATTAGACTTTTAGGAAACTTGCAAACTTTGAGTGACAGCGACGCTGCCAGCCTCACGAAGCTGTAACACAATAATTAAACTGTATATAGCTAGATTATAGCTAACTTAGCTTTTTAACCTCATATGATGGAACTTGTAAAAACCTTGTTGTGATTAATTAACTGCGCTAATGTGCTGCTTTACACGTAACTTTAACTTTAAATGTACCAGACTGTAACTGTATGTCGGTAACGTTTTATTTCAAATTCACATAGACTTAGACAGTTTGAACTTCACAGTGTTGTTTTTTTCTGTAATTTGTCGGATGCATGTTATAAAACAAATATTAAAAGAGGAAAATATCCAGATATGTGTGCGTCCTGTTGGATTGTATGTGCGCCGAATTATAGACTGACTGATAATGTATCTATGTACACTTTGTGTGGAATAATATTCTATAACGTGTTTGCGCTCTTCTGAAGCAATAATAAAGTTGCCCAATTTCCCAATGGAGTTCGGAGCTGCGTTTCCCCCGTGCAAGGGCGATTTGTGGGCAGTGTGACTAAGTTGACTAACGTACCATTTGACTCCGTCTCTGTCAATGATTGCTGTGTCCTCTCAGTTTCCTTACAGCCTGGCTGTGTGACATGGACGGTGGAGAGGAGGTGAGAGTGGAAGCTGCCCCATACTGCTGCTCCACCTGTGACGGAGGAGAGGTCGCCGGCCGCAGCCTGGCTAGACGCAACAGGAAGACCCGCAGCCTGAGCACCTCCTCGGCCAGCAGCTCCTCTGAGTACAGGTGGGCGTTGAACAGGGGCCCACAGATGTAACATGATTTCTTTATGTTGATGACAAGCCTGTTATTATGTTTGGAGAATGACTAGATCATTACAAGATGCCATCTTTTCCTAGACCATGCATTTAACCGGCTGCTTTTCTAGCCAGACTACTAGATCAGATCTTTTACTAATGGTTATGGTCTCACTGATAAATGTGGAATCAGCTTTTAGCTTAGAGGCTAAAACCTTATAGATATGTACCTATCAGACGTATCACCCTTTTGTGAACTAATCTAAATCTAAACATGCCTGGTTTTACTGTGTTTGTATTTTGGTGTTGTTGTTTAGGGTGTTGTCTCGGTTGTCATGTCAGTTTTACATCATGTGTTTCCAGAACACGTTGCCTCAACACAATAACCAGAGTAACTGCTGTGTGGTATTTAAGAACAGCTGCTCTTGCTTTTGGTTTCATGAAAATGTTTTCGAAACAGTCTTGTGACATGGTCTCTGTTGCACTACCTCGGACATTTGAGAAACACATGTGTGCACAATCCCTCCAACGATCACAGCAATGGTGTCAAGGAAACCAAAGGTCTGAGGCCCTGAAATGTTTGTTCACTGTGGATGTTGCAAGGGCCTTTGTTTGTATGTTTTAGCAACAGTCATGAGGTTTCTTACAAGGAGAAGTGAAAACGGCGGGGACCTACCTTAACATTTTCCTAAAGTAGCAATCCGGACTGTCCCACTATTGATGAGGAAATGAGGAAGTGAACTGTCATTCAATGATTACACATGTCCAAGATGTTGAAATAAACTCCAACACATTCAGTTTCATTGAGTTTATCTTAGTTTGGCAATGACACTTCTCATTTTTGTGACATTTGATGAGGATTGGTGTTTAATTTAGAATTGTGGAGAGTTACTTGATGCTTTTAGGGCAGTGACTCATAAAAAACAAACACGAGGAAAGTGGGTTCCTTGGCTGAAGGGTGCTTGGAGTTACTATTTAACATGGCAGAATAAGTGTTGATGAATTTAATCATAGAATTTTGTACAAATTAGTGCAATCATTAGGTTTTTTACCAACGTAACATAATATTTGATGGTTTACTGTCAACATGAAGAAACATTTCAAAATACAAGAGGAGTTATGGGGGGGGGCCTGATGAATATATAATGTTGGATTTAAACATTAAAAATGTTATGTAAATGTTAAAAGTGAAATCTTTCTCTGCTCTCAGCTTTCTTTGATCATCAATCCTCCAAAAATGATTATAACAGGATACCCTTTGGTATAGAGCATCTTGACGGTCAGTAATATGACTGGCCTTTGTTGTTGCTTGTAAAGTTTATCTTCTAGTGTTTCCTTTGTTTGTGAAATGAGAGGATTTATTTTCTTTTATCTTTGTCAATTTAAACTGAATATCTTTGGGTTATTGACTGTTTATCTTTGTTAGTTGGTTAGTCTAAACCCAAGACGTATTAAGACGTGACCACGGACCCTTGGAAGTTGGGATGGGCCTTTTGTTTTCTCCACTATTCGTTGTGCTGTTGCTGAGATGGTGAATGTAAATCTTAGAGGTGCATTAAAAACATTTTGTCCAGTAGAGGGCAAAAGAACCGTCAGTAAGGTGTTAGTAAACAGTATCCTACTAACACCTGATAGACAACCGGCATTATCATCCCACTGGAGTCGTGTTTCTGGCCTCTTGACTAATTCCAAAACAATGACCTAAAAGAGGATAAAAACTCAGTAGAGCTGCCAAATCGATGAGAATTGTCTGTGGGTTTGTCACTACGAGCAACACCTGTCACATTACACAGATTCATTCCATTCACTGTTAATATGAAAATATTGATTAATGCAGCTTTAAGAGCCAGTAAACAGCAGATGGTAAATTCTAAGAATCAGACTGCTAAGAGGATTTGCTGGCTGAGCGATGTGATACGGCTCCAACGCCAGTAGTTTGAGCCAGTCGTCTAGTATTCCTCCATTGTGGCTCAAAGTCAGTGACCTTTTACCCGCAACGCAGTCGTAAGTCTGGAAAGTCAGAGTGTGCCAGTGTCTGTGTTCTCAAACTCCAGAGTAGATAAAGACATCTGATGTGTTCATATTAATGGCTCTTAAAACTGTTGGGCTTTATTTCATCATTTACTGATACAGTATTTGTACTGCAGGTAGGAGAGATATAAGTGTTTGTTTTTCAGACATTACACAATACATTACTA